GTGGAATAAAACATTTGCAATTAATTTTTACATAGAAGACACATCTTGGTTCTGTTATGGGGTCTATTGAATCATTCTTCTGAACATTGTTAATTTACTGATACGGATGCAGTCACTGTTAGTGAAATAGAGGCACTTTATGAGCTCTTCAAGAGGATCAGCAGTGCTGTCATTGATGACGGGTTGATTAATAAGGTTCATATAAATCCATATTCACATTATTTGCAAATTATCATAAGCTTGTCAAGTCTGTGTTTGGAATGTTTTCATGTAAATTATGATGAGAATTTGGCAATTATTTATTACCGTGGCAGGAGGAATTTCAGTTGGCATTATTCAAGACGAACAAAAAAGAGAGCCTGTTTGCTGATCGGGTACTCTTTAATCTCTCTCAACTTCTTGTTTCTGTCTTTTGTTAAATGTGCTTCACTGTACTGTTGTTGCACGTATCACTAGCACTTTGAGCTGTCTATTGATAAATAAGCACCACCCTGTATCTGCTGTCACAACATTTCTGATTTGCTGCAGGTATTTGACTTGTTTGATACCAAGCATAATGGAATACTAGGTTTTGAAGAGTTTGCCCGTGCTCTCTCTGTCTTTCATCCAAATGCTCCTATTGATGATAAGATTGAGTGTATGTGTGGGATAGTTGAAATTCTCACATCACGATTTCTTTTTAACTTTTTGAACATTAGTCAATCATTCTATAGTTTCCAGTTATTCATTTGCTGAATTCTTTTATTGTAATGTTGCAGTTTCTTTTCAACTATATGATCTGAAGCAGCAAGGCTTCATTGAAAGGCAGGAGGTAGTAGCTACCTTCCAGTCTTTTGTGTTTTCTCTCTTTCTTTTAATGGTCCAGTTCTTCTCATTTTCCCTATATTTGTTGTAACTTTTCTGTGCATAGGTGAAGCAAATGGTAGTGGCTACTCTTGCTGAATCTGGAATGAACCTTTCAGATGATGTTATAGAAAGTATAATTGACAAGGTGCTGGCTCAACCAGATATGTTTAAAGCCTGTTTCTCTCCATAATCTTCATTTTTCTTGGTTGGATAATTTTTATTTTTCACATTTTAAATATTGGAGCTTTACAGACCTTTGAAGAAGCTGATACAAAACATGATGGGAAAATTGACAAGGAAGAATGGAGAAGCCTTGTTTTGCGACATCCATCCCTTCTGAAGAATATGACCCTGCAATATCTCAAGTGAGTTCCACACAACACCTATACGTTTCCATGCTTGAATAAATTTCTCCCCTATTTTTTTTATTAGTATAAATTTCTCCCTGATGTTAATGGCATTGATTAAACTCAAAACAATTTTTGATGCAAACTACACTTTCTTGGTTGCATAATTTTCATTTTTCCACATAATTTTCATTTATATGACCATCATTCAGAGTTAATTTGTAATACTGTGACAAATCTAAACTAATCTGTATGTATACATCATATGAAACATGAGAATTGCTGTCTTAGACTAATTAATAAGACTTGCTCGTTTGGATTTGCAGGGACATCACCACAACATTTCCAAGCTTTGTTTTCCATTCACAAGTTGATGATACCTGAAGTGGGTCCTGCAATCAAAGCTCGATCAAACTCCAGTTGCTAGACTTTTAATTATGGTTTATTTATTTCTGGACAATATGGCCCTCTTGTGTGTAAAGGGCTGGAGAGAAAATTTTTCTACTACCATAATATTAGTACCATTTTGGTTCGTTGTGCTTCTACTACTGCTAAGCAATTATTATTACGTTTTTACTTGGTACATTTTGGTCTCTTTATGTTTCTCATTATCATCATCAGTAGGAGTATTAATTAAAAACCTAGTCCGTTCCCATGAAACATTTTAGTGGTTAAAAATTCAAACTTTCAAATTGAAAATCTCAATTTCAAATTTTATGATAAACGAGGAATAATTTAAGAAGGTGAGAGTTATCTTCATCCGAAGTATCAAAAAAAAAAAGGAAAATGTTAAGCCAGGGGTAATAAATATTTGCTTGAAATGATCTCCCTGAATCCTAGTCTCATACTAGTTAGAGAACTACTTATAATATTCCAAAGAAAGCTCGCATCAAACATTACAAAGTTGCGCCATGCTTTTAATTGTCACATAAAGGTAGCATTATGGAATGGATAACACCCTCATCTGCCCACAGGACAAGAATTTAGATGTGAGACGAGGCGTTCAGGTGAAACTAGGACAAGTTAAATGTGAGAAGTGAATTTTGAAGTTGCCTTCCTTCTACCTAGTCGCTAGTGAAAAAACATCGAGATAGAGAATCAAACATTTTATAAGAGTCGTAGCTTAATGACTTGCCCCCGCAAATGTGTGTCAGGTACACAATAAACCTGTCAGTATCATGAATGATGATAATAAGCTTGAACCAGAGCACGGGCAAGTTTCATAAGCCACAAGCACAACCAGGGAGAACAGAAAAATCAGATAACATATATAACAGCAGAAAAGGACATATATAGCATTCGGAAAATAACTTGTCCGTTCCCGTTGAACCAGGCTTTAACCAAAACATCTCAGCAGACGGCCTACTTAAAACAAAAATTATGGAAACCCTTATAATAAAGAGTACTTAAACGCAATAACGTAAAAGACTTCAGCTTAATCAACTTCCTCCATCTTGCTGCCCTCAGCATCAGCATCAGCATCTGCATCCTCCAATGGAGGCATGTCAGCATCAGCATCACCACTGTCCTCATCAATGCTCAGTCCAAGTTTCAGCATTCTGTGGATTCTGTTGCCAAAGGTGTTGGGGTCATCAAGGCTGAAACCAGAAGTGAGGAGAGCAGTCTCAAAGAGCAGCAGAACCAGGTCCTTCACAGACTTGTCGTTCTTGTCAGCATCAGCCCTCTTCCTCAGCTCCTCCATGATAGGGTTCTCAGGGTTGATCTCCATGGTCTTCTTGCTTGACATGTATCCAGCCATGCTGTTGTCCCTCAGAGCCTGTGCCCTCATGATTCTCTCCATGTTGGCAGTCCAGCCATACTCACCAGTCACCAAACAACAGGGAGAGTCAACAACACGATCAGAAACAATCACCTTCTCTACCTTGTCACCAAGGACATCCTTGATGACCTTGCAAAGCCCCTCGAACTTCTCCTTTAAAGCTTCTTTCTTCGTCTTCTCATCTTCACTCTCATCTAGTTTCAGGCCCTCCTTGGTGGCAGAAACAAGCTTCTTACCCTCAAATTCCTTCAGCTGACCAACAGCATACTCATCAATGGCATCCACCATGAAAAGGACTTCATAACCCCTCTTCTTCAACTTCTCAAGGAAAGGAGAATTCTCAACAGCCTTCTTGCTCTCACCAGTAATGTAGTAGATGTCATTCTGTCCCTCCTTCATCCTGGTCACATAGTCCTTAAGGCTAGTCATCTCATCACCACTCTTGGTGGAATGGTACCTAAGCAACTCAGCAAGCTTAGTCCTGTTCTGGGAATCCTCATGGATACCGAGTTTTAGATTCTTAGAGAACGATTCATAGAACTTGTTGTAGTCTTCCTTGTTCTCAGCAATCTCAAAGAAGAGCTCAATGCACTTCTTCACCAAGTTCTTGCGAATGACCTTCAAGATCTTATTCTGCTGAAGCATTTCTCTTGAGATGTTGAGAGGAAGGTCCTCAGAATCAACAATACCTTTCACAAAGCCAAGGAATTCAGGGATCAGCTCCTCACAGTTGTCCATGATAAAGACACGGCGGACATACAGCTTAATGTTGTTTTGCTTCTTTCTGGTGTCAAAGAGATCAAAAGGTGCCCTCTTGGGAACAAAAAGGACAGCCTTGAACTCAAGCTGGCCCTCAACAGAAAAGTGCTTGACAGCCAAGTGCTCCTCCCAATCATTGGTAAGGCTCTTGTAGAAAGCAGCATATTCTTCCTTGGTGATCTCCTCAGGCTTCCTCATCCAGATAGGTTTCTGCTTGTTCACCAAAGACCACTCATGAGAAACCTCCTTGATCTTCTTCTTTTTTTTCTCCTTTTCCTTGTCCTCATCAACATCCTCTACCTTTCCTTCCTCATCCTTCTTGTCTTCATCATCCTCATCATCTGAAATCTCCTTCTCAGTAGTCTTCTCCACCCACAAGGAAATTGGGTAGCTAATAAACTCAGAGTGCTTCTTGATTAGGTCCTTGAGACGCCGCTCCTCAAGGTACTCGAGCTGGTCCTCCTTGAGGAAAAGGGTGATCTTGGTACCCCTGCCCAGGTTCTCACCAGAGGTGTCCCTAGTGACGGTGAATGACCCACCAGCTTGGGATTCCCAGACATACTGCTCGTCATCATTGTGCTTGGTGGTAACAATGACCTTCTCGGCAACCAAGTAAGCTGAGTAGAAACCAACACCAAACTGTCCAATCATGCTGACATCAGCTCCAGC